CGGAAGGGGGGGCCCGGATATCCGCCACAAAGCATACCTCCTTCAGCCACCACCCCCGGAATCCGAAAGGTGGCTTCCAGAGATACACCCGTCGCCCAAAAGACACCCAAAGCTACTCCGGGATACCGGAGAGGGATCGGGACATCCCTAGGCAATCCAGATTCCACGGCAAACTACGCCACCGCCAAGAAACCTCAACGGAATGGGATGGACCCCGGTGTCCTTTCCCCCACCTAGGAACTAGCGCGCCTGTGGGAGAAATCACGAAGGCTAAAAAGAGGAAGGGCAAAAGGGAGGGGTGAGGAGGAGGAGGAGGAATGGAAAAAGGGGAGGATGGGGAGGATGGGATAGGGGAGGGGAGAATGGGGGGTAATTAGGTTCGGTCTGAGGAAGAAGACCGACAGGGCTAATTCCTCAGACCAAGAGCCTCTTCACCACGCCAAGGAGCCCCCCTTGAAGAGGTCACATCTGCCGAGCTACCTCGGTGGACAAAAGAGAGGGCGGCCGGATATCCGCCACAAAGCATACCTCCTTCAGCCACCACCCCCGGAATCCGAAAGGTGGCTTCCAGAGATACACCCGTCGCCCAAAAGACACCCAAAGCTACTCCGGGATACCGGAGAGGGATCGGGACATCCCTAGGCAATCCAGATTCCACGGCAAACTACGCCACCGCCAAGAAACCTCAACGGAATGGGATCGACCCCGGTGTCCTTTCCTCTACCTAGGAACTAGCGTGCCTGTGGGAGAAATCCCAAAGGACAAAAAGAGGAAGGGCAAAAGGGAGGAGTGGGGAGGAGGAGGAGGAAAGGAAAAAGGGGAGGATGGGGAGGATGGGATAGGGGAGGGGAGATTGGGGGGTAATTAGGTTCGGTCTGAGGAAGAAGACCGATAGGTCTAATTCCTCAGACCAAGAGCCTCTTCACCACGCCAAGGAGCCCCCCTTGAAGAGGCATGCAATTAATAATGAAAAAAAAAAAGCTAAACCCACAAGGATGGGGAGGGGGGGATCATAAAGAGCCTGGGAAATGGAAGGCAATCAGGTTTAGTTCAAGGAAGAAATGGTCACGCTCAATTCCTTAAATGACAAGCCCCTCGCTTATCAAGAACCCTTCCTTTGAGGGAACAATTTACAGAAGGAACTCTCAAGAGGACTTTGTAGCTACAGGACAGAAATACATTCTCTCTAAATTATTATAGGAAAATAATACTTCAGAAAATGTTAAATAAATTCAATATACTTATGACAAATACAGCTTTTTAAAATCCTTATTTACACCATTTACATATATCCCCAATCTAGTATTTTACACCTGCATTTCAGATTTTTATGACAAATGTATGTACTGTATGAGAATTATTGTAAAAAGGCTTATATACAAATTAAGAAATTATCTTTGATATCAAAGTCTATGAAGTATTACATATACACACATCCCAGATTGCACTAGAGCAAAAATAAAAATAATTTAAGTCATGTTCGTTAATTACCTCTTCAAGGGATGGTTTACACCACAATAAATAATCAGTTTTTGCAGCTAGGAAGATAAGTCTTAAGTAAATCGTGTGTGAAAAGCAGTAATTTAACTTTTATATACCTTACCAAATTATAAAAAATGCACTTTAAAGATTGCAAATCTTATTATGCATAGTACAAAACTGGCTGTCAAAAGTGACATGGGTCAAGAAGAGAACCTGGTATGAGTGGGTGGAGTCGAAAAGAATGGTATGGAGTTTGTACACAGGTTGTATATCTAATTGGCTCTCTTCTTATCCAGAAGAGAGCCAATTAGATATACAAGCAGTGCCACAGCACCTCAGCATTAAAAAATCATAATTTATTTTGCTTGCCTACTGTGTCAACACCATTTAGTATCATGACAAATTCTTTCAACAAACTTATTTGAAAGACGACGACCTGTACATAATGCAAATATGAATATACAGTACATTATTATATATTTATCCTCTCTGGTAATGTGTACAAAATAAAAATAGACAAGAAAGATATGGAAAGAGAAAATGGTTAGGGCAAACATGGAAATTAAAGTGTACTCACAAATTTTATGATTAAAAAAATTTGGCAAGGTGTGGCAGCAACCAAGTTGCAATGCCATGCAAAATATACTGGAAAAATAAATCAAGGCCCTTCATATAGTAGTACTTACAAGAGGTCCATCAAGACTATTTGTTTTAATACAGCGTAGGATAAGTACTCAGCTAAGAAAAGAAGGCCCATTAAAAGTAAAATTAGCCAGTATCCAGTTATAGGTAGGAAACTTCTGATGCTAAGGAAAATGGGAATAACATTTTATACTGAATTTAAAATTCCACTAATCAATTTCCCACAATTCAGAATAAGTGCTTTGTGTCCTCTTTTTTTTTTTTTTTAAATATTATGGTTAGATAAATACCTTGTGTTAGAAAGGAAAATACAGATTCTGTTGCAATACTGAAAGATGAGCTTTCTTAAAAGGCAGAGAAAAATACTAACATGTCAAGAAAATATAAGTCATTGCACATGGAAATTAAAAATCTTGATTCAAGTTATAATTACCAGTGCAAACTAACATTTGCTTTACATCAGTGAAATATATAAATATATATTTATAAAACTTGCTGGAACATGAAGTACGATATCCACAAAAATATATACAGTATGTAGACCTACACAGTATAATATTTAGTGCTTAGTGTAGAAATGCCTATTTTCTTCATTTAAGTGGTTTTTGTACACTTCTTAATACTAGTATGAATGAGACTTGTCTCTCAAATTTTTGAAACCTGATGCATTCATTAAAATTTTTAATTCAGTATCAGGTAGTCCCAAGCACTGCAAACATTGCTTACTGGTTGGTATTAAACAACCAGAACTTGCTGCAAACACTGTAATCTTATAGAACTTAAATGACATTAGAGTGCACCTAGCACAAAGACAGAGCAATAAATTCTTTGAAATTCTTTCAATGTACCACAGTAAATACAAGACAAATCTAACATGCCGCATAAATATCTAGGACCTTAATCATAATCACTGGGGTTTTATGTAACTGCTACCTAGGATCCTCAAATGTTCCACATAAATACGATAATATAAGGTATTGCCTATAGTACAAGCAAACTAAACATCCTATAGTTTAAAAAAATGCCTTAAACTATACAATATTTATGTACTATGCAGAAAATAGTCTTGGACAAATTGTATTTTAAGACTTGCTTATCAAATCTCATATGCTGAGTTTACCCTTACAATTCATATTTAAGTTGCCTGAAGGAAAATTAATTCTTCCGGTGACTAGGGGTCTATCTGACAAAAACTCAAAATTTAACTCGTGCTATAGACCTTAACCCATAGTAGCATAACACCGATGATGTACTCTTGATGGCTAAGTAACACTTGAGTATTTCTTGCAGGCAACAGCTGTACAAAAATAAAAGCATGCAAGTTTGAATAAAATAAATGTTTTTACCATTTTATTAACATTAAACTACTACATTTGTTATCCCTCTGTTGTGAGGATGCCTTTCTGTTAACATATTGTATATAAAATACAGTAAGAGATAAAATATCTATTCAAGTTCCATTAAGTTAAACAGGCAATATTAGAGATCCTTAATCTCTCTTATTTGACAAAATTTACTCAAGTTCAAAAGGAAAAGGAAATCTCAAATTTTGTCCAAAATACACAAATGTAATGTCTTCTCATTTCAATTACACCAAAAGAAATAAGCAAAGTTCATGAGCCAAAGTACTAAGATAAAATTACACCTATCAAATACTTGTCCTTAAATTTACTAGTCAGCATCTAACACCAGACATTACAGCACAACGGGACTTCAACTTCACATTGTATTTCAAATGTGAACTACTCTTGGGAATTTTTGAACAGTGAATACTGTACATGCCATTATTTTATATACAGTACCTTCCAGAATCATAATTAAAAGTTGATTTCTGAAAACCTGTTTTTTTTTTTTATAAAAATCAAATAATACAAATTTTAAGATGACAATTTCCATACGTAAAACAAACCATACAAATCAAAATCTGGAAACCTACAAGAAATAGGACAATCTGGAAAAAGGAATGAACAATACAATTTACTTGAGGATTCTCATACTTTTTGAAGTTAAAAACCATTAAAAAATAATAAACCAATCCTCTTCACATGCTAAAGGTGACTTTGAAGGTAACGAAGGCCCTTAGATGGTGATCATTTCAGCAATGATAATGCAAATAAAACTTAAATTCAGCTTATACTACAAATAAAATTTTAATTCAATGTCTTCAATGTATTTAGATTTTTTTCTTCAAACATGACAGCCAACATACACACCAACATGAACAAGCAGAAAGAAGCTACACTACCTGGATATTGTTTTCACTCTTGCATCATTGTCACTCTTATTGCTCATAAAAAAAAAATCTACTTCATCAACTCTGCCAATTTCTGAAGGCCACATACCAAAATAACCATAAGCAGTCAACATTTGTAAAGAAATATGACTTTGGATATTTTTTACAATGGGGAAAAAATGACTGAGTACTCATAAAAATTGCAAGTAAAAAAATTTCTTTAAAAATAATCACGTCTACGGTGACTTAATGCTATTAATTTCATATATTATAGGCATTACAATATACTGCATCCATAAATGACATTTTTATAACCCAATATAGTAATTAACAAAAGCTGCTTTATGACGAGTATCATCCACAGTTAACAGATTTTCCCTCTTTCCACACCCTTAAGTGAATTTTTCCATTATGAACTTTTCTTATCTCCATTAGTGTGGTGAACAAGAGTTGGGGTTTCTGCTGGTCGGGTGAAGTTCTTCCCTGGGATAAACTCGGCAGCATAAGGGTTCAAGGTACTCTGGAATACGAAATTCATTGTATGCATAACTTAAGTCTGTCACATTCATGCGGTGGAAGCACCTTCCTAACAATGACTGAAGGAAAAGGTTACAAAGATGATATCATACAATAACTACTTTATGAAGGAATTTCAATGCATTACACAAAGTTATTACAATAAGGCAACTCATTTTAGAATTCCACATTTTCACAAGAACCAGTTAAGCTAAATACAATACAGTACCGAGATACACAATTTCATATTAACCCTTAAACGGTCCAAAGAGATTGACGTTCAAATTCGTAGTGATACAAAAATAGATCTACTTTTTTTTTACATATTTTCAAATTTCTATAACAAAAAAATGTAGATAAAAGTTTTTTTACACGCTTTCAAATGTAAAACAAAAAGAAGATCTACATTTTTTACATACTTTCAGATGTTGAAAAAACGTATATATACGTTTGGACCATTTAAGGGTTAAATAAAAATATATACTAAGAAAATTCTGTCTTAAGAAATCTAAAACCCAAGCACCAGATATACAGTGGACCCCCACCTTACGAACGCATCACGTTACGTTAAATCCGCCATACGAAGCATTTGAACGCAAAAATTTTGCCTCGCCTCACGATAAAAAACTCGCCTTACGTGATTCGTCCGGGATGCATCCCACATGTGGCCCTCAGCACCAGTGTTTACAAGTCAGCCAGTGCGGTCACATCTACGCATACACTCGGTACATTTCACATTATCCCAGTGTTTTTAGTGCTTGTAACTGCAAAATAAGTCACCATGGACCCCATGAAAGCTTCTAGTGCCATCCCTGTGGTAAAAAGGGCGAGAATTAGTATGGAATTGAAAAAAAGAGATTAAGGAAATGTGTGCAAAGTGGGTTCAACTGCAAACCTTTAAGGATGAAAATCACCCTGACACAGCTACTGCAAGCAGTGTTGGCAACCTGTACAATGACAATGTTATGGCCCATTTTAGGAAAGTCTTGAAGGAACGGGAGGTACAGAGCTCTATGGACAAATTTGTTGTGCGACAGAGGTCCAGTGACTCTGGAACTGGTCCTAGTGGCATTAAAAGAAGGGAAGTAACCCCAGAAAAGGATTTGCTACCTCAAGTCCTAATGGAAGGGGATTCCCCTTCTAAACAATAACTTCCACACTCTCCCTTCCTCCCATCCCATCAATCATCACTAGATCTTCAATATAGGTAAGTGTCATGTATTCTATTCTTAATAGAGTAGTAATTGTGCATGTCTTCTTCAGTTTGTGTGTATTAAAATTAATATTTCATATCATAAAAAATTTTTTTTCATACTTTGGGGTGTCAGGAATGGATTAATTTGATTTCCATTATTTCTTATGGGGAAAATTAATTCAGCTAATGATAATTTCAGCTTACGATGAGCTCTCAGGAACGGATTAATATCATAAGGCGGGGGTCCACTGTATTTCGTAAGCAACTTGATTTTTTGTTGTTAAACCTACTTCTTATATCATTTGTGGATGACTAATAGCAACAGACTGAAGACTGATCCTTATACAATACCATTGTTATACTTGCCTATTCTGATAATACTCCATTATTGCAACTCTGTGCCCTTGACATCACAATATAAAGTCTAGAATTTCTATCATATACACTTTCTGGTATTCTTATTAAATGGCATTACTGTTAGCAGACTGACAAGTACAATAATTAACAGTAATATACAACACTTACCTTAGCAGCTACAGTTTCATTTACTCCCATTTTCTGCATACTTGAAGCTAAACTAGATGTAGCATCATTTCTCATTCTGGAAAATAAGAATACAAACAAGAAAGTTTACAAAATTGCTTGGGTTGCCTACAGACATGTGGAGTTGAAGCCAAAGTATGATTAAAACTGCGGCAGTTACAAGTATGTACTAACAGAGTACCATAATAAATGGAACGCAGATGTGGCTGGTGCACTTCACTGCAAGATTTGAGGAGGAAAATAACTAAGTAATTATAATCAGTGAGGTTAATGAAAGCTAACACAAGAAGAAATGGTAATGGAGGACTAAAAGAGCATACAAGAAGAGTTACAATAAGAAAAACAGGGAAAATATAAAGAAACGAGTGAGGTGGAATACACGAGCAAGTACAGGTCTCTCTCAACATTCGCGAGGGTTAGGGGATCAAGAGCCTCGCGAATGTTGAAAAACCGTGAATGTTTGGTGCCCCAATATATTGTAGGGAAATATATTACAATACTGCTTCCTTAACTTGTCGAACCATGAATAATCATAAAATACATGAAAACGTCATAAATTGTACTAAATATATACATGTTATGCTTTAGTAACGTATGTTATTTAATAACATGTTATAAACATGTATGTTATTAAATACCACAGCACTCCACCACTGCCTCCACCATTGCGAGTCCCTACTACCCTCCCTCCGACCCCCGCAACTGGCAGCCAGCCCTCCCACCACTTAGTGTGGCGAGTGTTTTGTTTGTTCATTATTTGCTATTAAACTACAGAATAAATAATGTAAACCCATTCATGACTGCATATTGGAATGGCTATTCGGACAGGTATTAAACGGTGACATCATGTGTTTACTCTTGAACACAGCAAAGAATCGAACATTTCTGCTATTGCTAATAATAACAATAGTAGTAATAATAATAATAATAAAATAAAAATAGTAACAATAATAATAATAATAATAATAATAATAATAATAATAATAATAATAATAATAATAATAATAATAATAATAATAATAAATATGACATAACTGAAGAAGGAAATTGTACAAAAATACGAGGGAGTGGTTGACACATCGTCAGTGTGACTTTGCTATGCTGGAGTGAACATTAGTCTCCCTGCTCTTCCAAACATTTCACAATAATTCAGTGGTTGAGGCAGTGGTATTTAATAACATATATGTTACAAATAAAAATAGTACTTGTTATTATAATAACATGTATTATTATTAACATGTATGTTATTAAATACCATTGCCTCAATCATCACTGCCTCTACCACTCCAGTCACACTCAATCTACAAGCCCCAAACACAATGAATTATTGTGAAATGTTTGGAAGAGCAGGGAGACTAATGTTCACTCCAGCATAAACAAAGTCCACTGACGATGTGTCAACCACTCCCTCGTATTTTTGTACAATTTCCTTCAATTATATCATATTTATTATTATTATTTTTATTATTATTATTATTACTATTGTTATTATTAGCTGTAGCAGAAATGTTAAATTCTTTGCAGTGTTCAAGAGTAAACACATGATGTCACCGTTTAATACCTGTCCGAATAGCCATTCCAATACGCAGTCATGAATGGGTTTACATTATTTATTCTGTAGTTTAAAAGCAAATAATGAACAAACAAAACACTCCCACAAATGAGTGGTGGGAGGGCTGGCTGCCAGTTGCGGGGGTCGGAGGGAGGGTAGTAGGGACTCGCAGGTGGTGGGAAACTTAAATATGATTTGGAGCTGGGATTTTGGTGGCTGGGAATTTGGCGGTTGGGAATTCGCGAATGTGTGAAGCCCGTGAAAGTTGAAAACGTGAATGTTGAGGGAGACCTGTACAGTATATCAGGAGTGCCTAGTAGTTACTGACAATGGCATTCAAGGATTGCTAGGCTCAATACAAAATAAAAGAAAATGGTATAAAAACTTAGGTATGGTATACATCAACAGTAAATCTTTTCAATATAATCCTTTCTACTATATGTAAATCAAGCAGAATTTTTGTAAACACTATTACAACAAACCATACCCCGGCCGGGATTGAACCCGCGGTCATAGAGTCTCAAAACTCCGCCCGTCGCGTTTTGAGACTATGACCCGGGTTCAATCCCGGCCGGGGTATGGTTTGTTTGCAATCGTGTCATTACGATTTCGTGAGTCACTATTACAACAAATTTCTTGGCATTCATCAATCCCAATTTTCCTTTCACATCATTACATGATTAGTTACCCTTCTAGCTTTATCTTAGTGCACTGTGTATATTCTCTCTGAATATCAAGAGACCTAACTTAAAACACTGCTGAGTATTAAGATACTGTAACTGGTTCAAGAGTCTTTTTTTTCAGAAGTACATGTATCACAAAAAATACAACACTACATTGTACACAAATGTATATATAAAAAATTTTTTTAGCACTGCCCTCTCCCACCAGGTTAGGATTACCCAGGAAAAGAGTAAATGCTCACCACCATTCATTCAACAACTGTCTTGCCAGTGTACAGATGTTGCAATTCAAACAGCCCTCCGAACTATAACATTCTCACCACTCCATCAGAACACAAACACAGTATTTCCCACCTCCCGAACCAAAGTCGGCTAAAGGCTTTCTCGAGTACCTTCATATATGCTATCTTGTTCAGTCCAACAGCATGTCAGATTCCTAAAACCACTTGTCACTGCTAGATGCTCAATTAAAACCTTCATACCTCTCTCCAGCACTTCCTGGAAAGACCCCTAGCTATCTTTTCCTCTACCCAAGATTTATATACCCTCTTGGTCATCCCTTCTGCTCCGTCAACAACAACCTATCATCTAACTTTTCTAACTCCACACCATGTTCTAACGCCTATGCTTTGAATTCTTTCCATAAAATTTACACCACACACTGCTCTCAAACATGACACCTCCAACCTCCTCCTTACTGCAACATTTAACCCTTTGAGGGGTTCAAGCCATAGTTCTATGCCATGTCCACAGGGCCCAAGCTGTAGTTCTGTCATGAGCTCAGCTCACTCAAATAAGCTGTAAGTGGTAAATTCAGGTCTAGCTATAAAAGAATGGATCTATGTGGTAAGTGTGAACCACATAAAATAAATCCTGTAGCACGCAGTGCACAACGAGAAAAAAAAATGCGACCATGTTATTGGATTAAAACAGCGACTTTGTGGTTTCTTGGTCATTTGATAGAATGGAAGATATATTACAGAAATGGAGACGATTTTGATAGGCTCTTAGCACTGAAATTGACCTCAAAGTAACGGAAATGTTCGATTTTTGCCAGTGCTCAAAAGTAAACAAATGACAGTCATGCGTCCAATACACATTAACTGGTGGGTGTAATATACATTCACAAAAGTGCTGATGTTATTTATAAAATTATTACAATATTGCATAACAGTAAATCATCTATTTTTTGGTGTGAATAAAAATTCTTTAAAAAATAAAGATGGAATTCATCTGTAAAGCTTGGAAACATAACTAATAAACAAAGGAAATGTCGTCTTAGTGCCAGGAATTCCTGCACTGTTTATTCTGGACCCTAATTTGAAATTGGAATATTTTTAACTATGTGAAATTGGCCAAATTACTAATTTCTGATCACTTTATTGGGTAGCTGAAATAGTTAATTGGGCAGCTTCTTGTGCTCAATCGATAAAATAAAAAATACTAGTGAAATAGCTAAGAATTTGGTCGACTGGAATAATGTAATTGACCTAAAATAGGAGTCAAAGTGGGCAAAATCGTCAATGTGTAAATATCGCTGACGCAGTAAAAATCGTGATAATGTAATTTTATAAATTTTCCGTCAAATTTCTTACTTTTTCTTTTATTACCTTCAGAAAAAGATTTTCTGCCATTTCATGAGAAAAAAATAACTTTTTTTATTTTTTTTTAAAGTCTTGGACCCTGTGGACACGGGCACAGAACTATGGATTGGATCCTCAATGGGTTAAAGCCCTTTCCTCACACCCACATAAAAGATATACCACTAGACTTGCACATTTCATCATTCTGCCTCCAAAGATAAACTTTTCCTCTCCACAGATGCCTCAACACACCACCTACCTTTTTCCCTTTATCTATTCTATGCTTCACTCGTCTTTCATAGACCCATTTGCCGATACGTCCACTCCCAAATCTCTAAATACATTTACTTCCTCCATATGAAGTGGGAGTTGTCACAGTTGCTCTTTGATGACAGTTCTTTGGGAGATTCTGAAGAGAATTTTAAAGGTTGGTGGATGAATTTCAGAAGGGTTGTATTAAAGGAGGAAATTAATAGTAAGCACAGGAAAGAGCAATATGATGAGAGTAACAAATTTTAAGCAATGAAAAAATGGGTATGTGAAAATTTATATGTACATAATATATAAGCAAACTATAATATACACTGTACAATACAATACACATTTATGCACACCGTACCTATACGAGTACAGTACATATAGTATACAAACGGGGCCAGTCAAAACTCAACCCCATGCAGACTTTGCAAGAAAATAGACAAAAATTCCATTTTATTTGCTATACAAACATCATATTTACCCCTTTATTAGATTTACTGTCACTTGCAGGGAACAAGTTTGTGCAACTTCCACACTCATTCCAAGTATAAGAACGTTAAATCGTTCACTCAACAGTCTCGCACCATGTCCAATCTGAGTATTTCTTGATCATCAAGACTCACAATCTGCCTTAATCCAACTTCCAATATTACTAGCAATCCTTTTGGGTGCCAGGATCAAAAATGATGAGAAGGGAAAAATAAAGTAAAAATAGAATAGACAAGAAACTACAGACTTTAGCAACTGGAGCAGATGACTGTAGCAGCTGGTACAGATGACTGTGTGTAAGGGGATGACTTCTATGAATTGCAACACAGCCTCACTTGGGCAGCATGCATAATCTGAATATTTTTTTTTTTACCCAACTCAGATGAGTTATGAAATTTCTGTGCAATAAAATTGGAGGGTTCCAAGCAGAAACTACTACAAAAAACATGCTGTACAAGATGCTACTGTATATTACAAGACTGAGGATTTTGCTCAGATGGCCCCAAGAAAGAAAATTTATAGAGATAAGCTATTATTCAAAACATTAACAGTCTTAGCATTGCCATGTTTCCATACTTAGAAAACAATGAATTTTAATAGTAAAAAGGCAGACTGTGCACACTACTCACTTCTCCTGCTGGTACTGATTGGTAGTAGACAGTGTCACGTTGCTCTTCCTCCTCCAACATGCGACGGAGGAATTCTTCCTCGTCCTCCCTCAGGTACTTGACTGTTCCATCATTACTTGGTTCACCTCACAGATCACCTATGTGATATGCATACATAAATCGTGATAACCAATGAGAAAATAAATACTGTGCCATCCACTTACAGCACACCAAAAGGACTGCTTTTTATCCAGTTCTCCAAAATCAGCTTTTTTACATCTTTTAAAAATTACAAAAGTGACAACAGCAACTTTCTTAACTTTCAAACCTCACATATCATATTTTCCGACATGCAAGGCACACTTTTTCCCCCACAAAAAGTCTAGGAAAATCACCCTGCACCTTATATGCTCAAGGTCAGGGTCATGGGTAGGCTTTGGGTTACGCTATAGCAGTTGTTTACTAACATTATGTTATAGCTGATTGGAAACATTGTCTGTCTCATATGACCATGTGCCGTATATGCCATAAAATACAGTAAATAAAAGACTCGACTCTTTTCCAAACATTATCTCTTAATCATTTTTAACAATAAACCACAATGAGCCTTCTCAGAGTTTCTGTTTAAACAATATTACCATAACATCCTCATTATAAACAATTCACACAATTACATTTTAATCAAAGTCTTCGATTATAATCTAAGACTGATAAAATGTAATTGGACACCGTAATAATTATTATGGGTCCATCAATTTTGTATTTATCCTGTACAGTCTGTAACCATTGTTGCAATAAAAGGTTTTCCTGCTACCAGTGTATTTACAGTTGTTGGGTCATACTACTAGTGACCAAAGTGATTTATTATATTCATGGTGAAATGCTAAACCCACAGGAGTCATACAGCAGGTAACCAGGTGTGTTCACAAGGAAGAGTACAGGTGGCCCTGCTTTTACAGTGCTTTACTTGACAGCATATTGCTAATACAGCGGTTTTCAATTATACCCAATCTTTATTTATTCAGACTTCCTACAATAAATACATTCACCACCAACTAAAAGCCAAGTACAAAAATATATTACGGAAAGTAATGTGTGTACTGTATATGCTTTTTTTAGGCCTAACTATATTGCTCATTTAATATAGGATCATGTAAACATGTTATCAGGCTTTTTATATGCATTGACAGTGAAAAAGGCTACGATTCACTTTACAGCCATTTTTGCTTTACAGCAGTAGCCTGGAACCTAATCTACTGTACAAGCAGGACCTTCCTGTAGCTCCAATTCATTTGATCAGCATGAAAGCCCCTACACTGAAGGGTAACAAAGTAACTTTTACCTTACATTTTTGTCATCTGGGTTAAACATAACCCTGCACTTCTACATTTATAATTCTTTTACTCACAAATACAAAACACTTTACTAACCTTTAATTTTGTAATTTAAAAGTCGAATTTCCTACCTAATAATGTTTTTCCTGTGTTTAACCCTTTTCCTGTTTTGGCCGTATATACACGTCTCATGAACAAGTGTTTCGGACGTATATATACTCAATAATTTTAGTGGCTTCAATCAAGGAGAAAGCAGGTAGGCCTACATGTGAGAGTATGGGTCTGTAAAAAAAATCCTGCAGCACGCAGTGCATGAGAAAAAAAAAAACTCCGACTGGGTTTTTGGATTAAAACACTGAATTTGAGGTGTATTTTCGCATAGTGTTTATGGTTGTATTCTTGTTTTCTTGGGCTCATTTGATAGAAATTGAACGGAAATGTTCGATTTTTTTAACCAATGTTCAAGATTAAGTAAATCACACCACATGTCCAATACACGTCAACTGGGAAGTCGTATTCTTTCACTAGTGCACTGACATTATTTATACCATTTTTACAATAATGCGGTAGTCTGCATAACAGTAAATTTCTATTCTTTGTGTGAATAAAATATTAAAATAGAAAGCAAGAGTAATATAAGAGGGGCCTAAAAGACGTGACTAATGAATTGAGGATATGTTATTTTAGTGCCAAGAATGACTGCACTGTTTATTTTGGACCCTATTTGAAATTGGCATCTTTTTTAATTTGCAAGAAATTGGCCAAATTGCCAGTTTCTGACCACTTATTGGGTAGTTGAAATCGGTAAATGGGTGGTTTCTTGAAGTAAAAAATGAAGTTCTAAAGAAAATAGCTATGAGTTTGGTCAACTGGAACAATAGAATTGGCCGAAAATAGGGCTCAAATTCAGCGAAATTACCGATGTGTATATATCGCTAAGATTGGAAAAAGATTCTATCATTTCGTAAGAATTTTTTTTTTTTCCCAAAAATTTTGCAACAGAATGAGTTTCAGAAATGGGCTTGCGACAGTCAAAGGGTTAATATTGTTGTTCTGTGGTGAAGTTATACACTATGTTACATATTTGCTCAATGGCTTTCAAACATACTACTAAACTACTAGACTAATTGTTGTCAAAATGCCCATCATAAAATGGGCTCTGCAAAGTGTTACAATGTGCTATGCCTACATTGTTTTCCCCTTAC